CTATAGGAATCCTAAGACACTTCTTGAACGTTTGAACTGATCTAATATTAAAACTTGAAAATTTATATTTATTTTTTATAATAAATATTCATTTATTAATTTATATTTATTTATTAATTCAGAAATAAATTTATGCATTTACTGAATAACAGGTCATTTATCTTATCTAGTATTGGATTATAATTTTCAGTTTCAAAGTTTATAGTTTATTTCTATTGATACACATTTAATGTGAAAATATTAATTTTTTCACGTATTTATTATTAAGTATTTTTTTTTTTTATATTTTGGTGCTATTAACTGGTGCTTTGACTTGTGTGTTGTATATATTAATGTATTTGAATAGTTACTTCGAATCAATATATTAAAAATGAAAAATTATTGACCACTTTATCTTCTAAATTTATATGACAAAATGTGCCAGAAAGATATACTAAGATAATTTGCCCTAAGAGGCAAATTGTTCGTATACCTATATGAGTATGCGTATATTGTATACAGAATAAAAGTATTTTCAGACAAATCCGTTCCAACGCTTTTAATATTTAATTGCAATGAACTATGTTTTGAGTGCTTATTATTTAATTATGGCCAAGTAGTTATAATAAATGGACTTGCGCTTATTAAAATCTTCTTGTAAATTTGGGTCATATGGTCCAAATAGATACGTACGAAAATATTCGCAATACTTAATTAATCTTTTTTTTTCGTTATAATTTCAATAAAGTAAATGTGAGATGTGTGCAAAACTGATTCATCAACTTATAGTTTTTATTTGAAGTTTAGAAAAAATTTTTTTCTGTATTCGAAAAAAATACAGTTGTATTTTTCAACTGCATTTTTATTATGGCTCTCTCATATTTCATAATAAATTACTTCATCATAATTAATGTTTCTCTATTGAACCCTAAGTTTTCAAAATATTCTAAGAATATAATTAAAAATGCAATAAAAGCAATATGTAATGAATATTGTTGTTCCACTGAATTTATTGCTGTTGCTACGGGAAGCAGCCAGCAACTATTGTATTCAATTGCAAACAATACCATTCCTGGTATCAGCAACAATTTTGCTAATTGCAAACGGAACAACGCCACCAGCGAAGTCTTATAGTATCTTTATTTGTGGCTGGCCCCCTAGCAATTGCAACTGTTAGTGACTGTTACGGGTACAATATGGTATACATTTTTGTTACAGTCAGTCTTGGTCGAATAAGAAAAACTTAAAATAAGTTATTCATATGAAATAAATAGCTATGAAAGTAGTAAAAACTGTTGAATCCAAAAGGATGCATTTAACAATTTCGATTTTCTTCATCTCAGTGTATACAGTAACCTATATTTATAGGTTACTGTATAGTCAATAATATTATTTAACTTCGCGCCAACTATATTTTGTAGTGTATATAATATATTTAATACTTTTCGATTTTTTTATCCTGTCCTTGTACGTACAAAGTGGTTAGTAGTTGCTCATCTTTTTTCAAAGAACGTAATATACATATAGCTTAGGAATGTTTTACTAGCGTTACTTATATATACATGAAACGAAACTACGCATAGTCTATTGTCCGGACTTCATTTCTGAGTTTTTAAACACAAAAACTCGTAGGTTAGTTTAAAGCTTGTTTTCGGTTTCAGATATTTGGAGAACTACAACGCACAATATTTGAATCAAAAACTCATTTTTCGTTTAAGTATAAATTATTAACAAGAATAAAAATTATTTAAAACGAGTAAGGATCGATATCAAAGTCATATATAAAGTTTCAATACTAGCATAAGTATGATTTAACGTTAATGACTTACGCATAACTTAAGTCAGTATTTGAGACAAAAATAACGACTGTAAAATCGGTTAGTAATACTACGTGGATTGGTAAATACCCGGTCGCATTTTTTTTGGAAAATTATATTTTGTGCTTCAATATAATCTTCTTTTAGCTCGACACACAGAGTCCAACGATCTTTCAACATTTAGATATCTTTTAAATAATATGATTTATTAAGTCCTTTAAAATATACCTTAGAATCCAATTCCACGTCATCATTTGATGTAAATCTCTTTCCCTGAAGTCATTTTTCAAGTTTGGAAACAGATAATAGTCACTGGGAGTCAAAACTGGAGAATATGTTGTGTGTCATAGTTTTCCTTGATATGGAAGCAAGTGCGTTATTCTGCAAAATTAAAATTTTTTTCTTTGACAAATGATGTCGTTTTTTCTTGATTTTCTTATTCAATCAATCCAATAATATGCCATAGCAGTCTGATGTTATTGTTTTTCCCGTTTCCAAATAATCTATGAAAAATATTTCACTTGAAACTTTTCCAGCCAATTGTTGAGTTCGTGGTCGTTTGGGAGCACTACCCCCGGGCTCTACTCATTCTCTGGCGTGTTGTTTTTACTCAGGTATAAAGTAATGGATCTATGTATTATCAGTTGTCATTATTCGACGCTCACAGTCAGTTATATTGCGCATAAACATTTCTAAGTTTTGTTTTGAATGACGAAGTCGTTGTCGTTTTTGGTCAATTGTGAGCAAATGCGGTACCCATCTTGCCAATTTGATCATTTTCATACACAAATATTCATGTAAAATATTCGATACACGTTCATATAACATGTTTGTCATCTCTGCCGTCTTACGCAATTTAATTTTTGGATCATACAACACAATATCGTGGATTTTTTCAGTGTTTTTTTCAGCTGTTATCTCCTTCGGACCTCGTCCTGGTCGAACGCTGTTCATCAAAAGCACAAGTACGACCACGTTTTAATTCAGCTTTCCTATTTTTTATTGTTGTTAACAATGGTGCAACGTTTCCGTAAATAGAATCCATTACCAATTGATATATTTATATAAGCAACATATAAGACCGTTCTTGTCTACGGTTTGAAACAGACTCAATTTATTATATTTACGTTTCTACAGAATAGTGTTCTTACGTCTATCTTAATTCTTCACTAAGAGAAAGCGATTGAGTGGGTGAGATTGTATACATATATAGGTATCATCAATTTGATTGTATCATTGTTCATTCCTTTCAAATGGAGGGATTTTATAAATGAACGATATTCAGTTTTTTCCATTTTATACAAAATCACTAAGGTGCACTATTTCAACTATTTACAAAAAGCTAACTAAACATATGATTATGTCGAAACTTTCGCAGCTGTCGTTTAAAACTTACCAGATACATAGGGTATAAGGGAATTGTTCTGGCGTTGCCACCTATTGTGAAGTCTACCTGACTTATCAATCCACCTAGTATCTTAAATTTAGTACAATTGATTAAAAGCAGCAAACAGATATTTGATTTGCTTTATTACTTATATACTGTATATTATATTTTGGATTATAGGTCCCTATCTGATGTGATCTAATGTACATTGTGACCGAAAGGTTTTCGGAAGTTCTCATTTAAAATTCGCGCGCTGTATATTTTTCGATATTTTAAGTTTATGTAGTTTGGCAGCACTGTCCTTAATTACTATGCCAAAAATGAGCGCGATCTGTAAGACAGTTCGTTTACGGCAGCTGTTGAAACCAGTTCACCTCAGTAGTGCGTTGCGAAAAAAACAATGGAAAAAAATATTGAACAAAGAGTTTGCATCAAATTTTGTTTTTCGAACGAAATTTCGTGTGCAGAATCGTTGCGAATGCTACAAAAGGCTTATGGGGAATCAGTTTTATCGAAAACTCAAGTTTATGAGTGGTACAAAGCCTTTCAGGACTGTCGTACGACCGTCGAAGACATGCCGCGTTCTGGACGACCTTCGACCTCTACCACCGACGAAAACATTGAAAAGGCAAAGGAAATCGTGTTCAAAAATCCTCATGTGAGTGTTAGAGAGATAGCACGAGAGCTAGGCATCGGTCGTGAGATGGCTCGTTTGATTTTGGTGGACAATTTGTGTATGCGACGTGTCAACGCCCGGCTTGTTCCGATTCACCTCAATTTGTTCAACATTATCAACGATTTTAAGGCCAAACATTCAATAAATACCATCGAACAGCCACCGTATTCACCTGATCTTGCACCGTGTGACTTTTTCCTGTTTCCCAACCTCAAATTACCACTCAGAGGAACGCGTTTTGAATCCATAGAAGACGTAAAACAGAATTCGCAGAGGGAACTCAAAGCCATACCGGAAAGCGCCTATAAAAAATGTTTTGATGATTGGAAGAAACGTTGGCATTTTGTTGTATCGCTTCTAATGGAGCATATTTTGAAGGAGATAAAATAAATATTGATGAAGATTAAGAATTTTGCGTTTTATTTAGAGTTTCCGGAAGCTTTTCGGTCACAATGTATTCCATTCTATAGTACATAAAAGTTGGTGACTTATGTCAGTTACATTCACTCATTATTCTTATAAATTCAGTGTGAAATAATGTTGTTTGACGAATAATTTGTAACATCACCAAATATTATTTTTACTACTAATGATACTAGTCGCTTTGGCGACTGACTTACTTGATAAAAATACTCTAACAAACTAGCTAAGGTTTATAATGTGTTACCATTAAGGATGAAAACAAAATAGATAGATACCAGCATCGAAAGCAACTAAAAGAAGCCGAGATAAAATGCAATTCGAAACTTAAAGATTAAAATTCGTTTAAAACAAAGCAACACAAATGAGGCAGACATTTTCACACACACACAAATTTAATGAAAATTTCACTTAAATTCCAAATGCAATTAAGATGCATTTTTATTCGTGCTCAGCAATTTGTTGTTGCTTTCAACAGTGCTTGCATTCAATGTGCTAGCAAATTGCAAGTAGCAAATTGTGTGCTGCTGAAACCGCAAATTGTGGTTGACTGCATTTTAGAGCTTCTAATTAATATTCTGACTATGTTTATGTTGTAGTCAATTCGCAATTGATTTTAAGATACTATTTTGGGTAGTTGCAGAAAATGTGTATTTGTGTTTCGTCCTCTACTCATAGTAGAAAGTATATATGTATATATGTTTTTCTGTTCTGCAATCAGGTATGCAGAAAATGTCCTTTGCTCCATCATAAGCAATAAGGAAGTACTCAGCAGTGTGCAAATGGCGCCAAATCGTTTCTTAAATGTTAAAATTTACCTTGAGAGAAGTATTTTTCCATTTAGTACAGTACGTGCTGCTAGACGTCTTGTTCAAGTTAAGTGCATTTGCCATTTCGAACTGGCACGTAGGAGCAAACAGAGCCGCTCCGAGCGCGGTCTCAAAATATGACGGCTACAGGAACTGAGTGAAAACCAAATAGCTCTTCATAGGGATTGACCTCAACTGACAGACTGCGGTTAGGTTTACATGAATAACAAAGTATTTCTGAATGCACATAAAAGGATATTTACAGTAAACTCGTGTTTATTTTAAAATAAAAAATATGAAATTACTGATTATATGTTTAAAAGAAAACATGTTCTGTTGAAATTAAAACTTTCTAAACTTAAAAAAAACTTTGTTGATATATTATGATACCGAATATTACAATAAACCAAAAATGTCTTCTTCTATATATTTTATATATCCTTCATATATAGATTATCTTCGCTTATGGTAGTAGATAAAATTGTGAGAAGGTTGATAACAAATATCAGAAAAATTATAATTCTTATAAAAAAATAGTTTTAAGACGGGCTATTGATCCATTGTTCAAATAATAAACTTGTTTGAAATCAGTTTTCAAAACATTTTTTTTAAACTAAAAAAAATTTTAAAACCAAACTTTTCAAAATTAGCCCCTTTCGAAACGAAATTAATAATAACATATTTAGTAATTAAAACAATAAATTGCAAACAAAAAAATGTAAGTTTTATATTACTTACAATATACTTAAAAGAGTTTTTGGAGCTACTTTTTTAAAATCGATCAGTTGGGTTCACAAATAGATAATGGCGAAAAATATTAGAAACTTTTGAAAGTAATCCGCTTTTAGCCAGACAAGTAACACATGGATATAGTTCAATCAATTTGTCTAGTCTCTGTGTGATTTAAAATATACATACGTACATATACATAACCTGCAGTTAAGATAAATTTTAAAATTTTAATCTATGAAACGCCTAGTGGGAACAATTATGCATCGGAACTTCGTTAGCTCATTTATTTAGCCCAGGCATACAACCACCAGCCAAACCTCTAACCCACAAAAAATATATTCCCGCAAAGCGATAAATGTGTCGATGCCACTTAATGTTACGCTAATTGATTCTCAACGTTTTACACTTTGGCAAAAACATGTTCATTAGCAATGTATCTTGACTCGCAAGTGCAACGTGATACTAAATCAAAAATAGATACCAATTCACAGGCGTGCACGGTTGGCAGTTATTTTGCGGTAACGCTTTAGCGACCAACAGGTTGGAGCCATACGTACGGATGCCACCTAAGCTATTAAGCAAATCCGACAAATTTCAACATACAATAGCGAAAGGCTTAACAAAGGAGCGTTTGTGGCATTGTTGGAGCGCGATAAAGCATTTAACCACAAACGGCATTAAGCATATAGGCAAATAGGCAAATAGTTTAACATTCGCACTAACATTCGCATCCTGCGATTTTGCTCATAGTCACATGCATTATGACTTTTATTGTGAAGCTGAAACCTGCGAACATTGTCAAAGGTGAATGGATTCCGAAGCAGAGCTGAAGTGAAACTAGCTTTGGTTATTTATATTACATTATCCTTTCTAATCCGCTTTTTTTATAATGTTTATGTAAGGTGTTTGTGATACTATTGTTGACGTGACTTTTTTATGCTTTTTACTTTCAGATGAACGTCAGGACATACAGAAGAAAACTTTTACTAAATGGATCAACTCACATTTAGGAAAAACCCAGTGTCCTCAAATAAATGATTTATTCACTGATCTAAGAGATGGGAACCGTCTGCTAGCTTTGCTCAGTGTGCTAACACAGTCTCAATTGGTAAGATGCTTTTGCTTCAACACTTTTTAATATTTGCGAGATAAAGAAATGCGTTTATAAACTGATGCTAATGCATATAAACGCAGCAAGTGTTTTCTATAAAGAAAAATTCAAGGATACTTCAAGTGCCAAACGTAGTTATTGTAGTTGTGGAGTTTACTTGTATGCACAATTTTTGCATATTTACGTAGCTCGAATTGAGTGGCGGGCTTGCTCGCAGCTTCGCATGGAGCAGTTGTGCGAAGAAATTCGTGAAATTCGGAAAATGAAAGTAAAATTTTATTGTGGGTGCAAAAATCGTTGCTTCAGGCTGACACGTACATTTACATAAATTGCGTGGCATCAGTTGTCTGGTGCATTAGCTGCGACTGCATCACCCGTTTTTAATTTGTTCAGCGTTTTTATCTTCAGAGTTTTAGTTGCAGCGATAAACGATTTTAAATTGAGTTTTAATTTTGCAAGTTGAAGAGAAACAGACACATTTTCATGGTAATTAAAGACAGATAAAATTCACAAAATGTATACATAAATGAGCTTCACGTAAAAATTTGTTAAAGATATATTACATGCAACATGCAACATGTAAAATCTAATATGTACAAGTAGTCTTTAGTAGCATTGTAACAGACTAGGGATACCAATAAGTCAAGATCGCCGCCTCAAACAGACCTAACCTACTCACTCATCTTTCAGAGTTAATACTGATAATACGAAATTGAAATATCCTTCAAAGCCTTTAAATTAAAAGCTCTTAATTTATTATATTATTCTAAAGGTAAGATATGTTTTCTCACCCCTTACCTACCCGCTGCTTCATTTAATTTCATTCAAATTACAGTGTAATATGTCAAGTACATAAACATTGACTTGCTTACATATTACATATTAAATAAGAACACATACTACACTTCAATGTTTAGCCTTGGTTAAATGTAAATAACTTCTGTAGAAATGACGCACATCACCTTTATCCTTTGGAAGGAAAAATGAATTTTTCTTGATACTCTTCAAATGTTTTTACCTGTCATAAGAAGCAAATATTAAGCATACGATTTATATTATACCACCATAATTCTATTAATATTCTTTTACTTTTATTTTTTCAATAAAAATGACTCATTACTCAACGTCAACTATACATGTCCACTTATTTTCATATATCAGAAACCAGAAAAAGGACGTATGCGTGTGCATCACATTAACAATGTAAATAAGGTCCTGCAAGTCATTCAAGAACATGGCGTAAAATTGGTGAACATATCCAGTGATGATATCGTCGGCGGTAACCAAAAGCTTACGTTGGGTCTTATTTGGCTTATTGCGTTGCAATTCAATGGACAGAGCCTAGTCAAAAGTCATTCAGTTAATGGCATCGAAAAATCACTACTAGCTTGGGCGAGACAGTTCACAATAACTCGTGGTTTAGATGTTACGGATTTCTCAAAGAGTTGGACTGATGGTAGAGCATTTTTAATGATACTCGATTCAAATTTAGATGATATTGATTTAAGTATT